ATCCGGTACCAGTTTCTCAGTTTTTTCCATTTTCTTAACATGTCCTTCTCGTCTTTGACTGTCTTCTTGCTCTTCCGAAGTTCCCGCTTCATTATTGCCCAGTACTGCTCCACCGGGCGCAGCTCCGGACAGTTTGGCGGATTCATGTCCTTTGGAACAAAATGGACAGAATTGGCCTCATACCACTCCAGGACACTTTTAGAATAGTGGCATGATGCCAAATCTGGCCAAAATAGCGGAGCTTCATCGTGCTGCAAGAACGGCAAAAGGCGCTTCTCGAGGCACTCAGATTTGTAGATCTCGCCATTTACTGTGCCCTTTGTCACGAAAGGCTCACTCCTCAGTCCGCAAGAGCAGATGGCCTGCCAAATGAGATATTTGGAGGCGAACTTCGACATTTTCTTCTTCTTAAATTTGTCGTCCACATCGAACTTGCTCTTGCCGGTGAAAAACTCCAACCCTGGAATTTGCTTAAAATCGGCTTTTATATACGTTTCGTCGTCCATCACACAGCAGCCATATTTTGTCAGCATCTTCTCGTAGAGCTTCCGTGCCCGAGTTTTAGCCGTCGATTGTTGCCGCTCATCGTGGTTTGGGAAGTTCTGTACCTTGTATGTATGTAGTCCAGCTCTCTTCTTTGCATTCTGGACGTAGCTCTGCGACATGCCGATCTTTTTAGCCAAATCACGGCTTGAGACGTTGGGATTTGCTTTAATCATCCGCTTCACCTTTCCCTCCGTCTTTTTGTTCTCCGGTCCCGGTTTTCTTCCAGCTCCTTTGCCGTGGTCCAACGTCAACCGCTCCTGGAACCGCTTCAACACTCTGGAGACGGTTGAATCATAGAGGTTACTCTAAGACCACTGGGTCCCGAAGAAAATCATTATTATTTTTGGCTCACTCAGTACCAGAACAACGGTCCCAAGCAGTCCCAAGCTATTTCACTCACCCCTGCATGTTCTGCATGAATCCACACACCCCTGATGTTATCTATCAAACTTTCATAGCGAAGCAAAACAAACATAGTGTAGTAATAGAATTTCAACTAGAATAGGGTACGTTAATCGTTTGCTTGGGACCAATAGGCTACTAAAGTGGTGAGCCAATTTAAAATCGTTAGTTTCGTATTGATTGTTGGTTGAATGGTGAATGTTCAACATTTTTCCCAACTGTTCTCTCAACTCGCGTTGGTTCACCTCCATTTTCGTTGACTCGAAAAACACGACTTCGAGTTTGACAGCATGTACACAATACACATCAATGAGAAAGTGTGCAAAATTTGGTTGATTTTTACCCAATGGTAAAAAAGTTATGCCCTGTTGAATGTGTCGCAATAATTTCGTGTTCGCCCTTTAACGTTTGCCATCTTAATTATAATGTATTAGAATTTACATCATCCATTTAATAAATAATTTTGTTCAAATACTCACTTGTAAGCATCTTCATACAATACCAAAACAAAGTAAATAAACAAAACTATACAGCCATCGAGCTCGGTTGAGTCCACTGACAGATAAGTCGGAAGTGAACTTCGCATCGCGAGTCGGACTTGCGAACTTCAGTTTAGTGGTAGCGCGACAATATTCAAATCAGTCATCAAATGCGTGAACGATGATCCCAGAATGAAGCGTTACAACTACACGGATACGAATTGTGTTAATTTAAATCAAAGATATAAATGTTTTTAGTCTAAACAGATAAATTATTTAAAAAAAAAATTAAACATGTTTAAAACTAACATATATATGTTTGAATTAAATTCAAAAGCATGTTTAATTTAGCAATTTCAAAATCAATTGTATTTGACAGCATCTGCCGCCGACGTTTCTCTTTGACTGACGATGATCGGCTCCTGTATGTGACGAATAAGAATGAAAGCATTGTCCGAAGGGTTCTGGCCATGTTAGTTCTTTCGCTGGTCATTTCATAGGATCTGAAGTTTTTGGCAGTGACCGATGAAATCAAGAGCTGAACAGAGCGACACAGGCGCTCGTGATATTCTTAGTGGACATTCACACGTTGTTACAAGGGTGGTTTTCCAGAACTATTCTCATCAGTTATATTCGTGTACGAAAAAGATAGGACTGGTCCCTGGATGAGATGTTCTTCGTGGAGACATTACATTATACCAAAGACAACAAATCTAGAAGACTGGCAACTTTGCCAGAATTCAAACGACAGATTCAATGGCGCTGTGCTTGAGTGAAGGTGGAAGCAACGCATAGAAAAATGAGCAAATACTCATACCCTTCTTCTGAGGATGTAATCTTTGCTATCAAATTCGTTCGAAGCATTTACCTTTGAGCGGCAGATAACGCACATCCAAAGGAAGCCAGAAAAGTTTCGGAAAATGGAAGTTAATTCCAGAAGTAGCCTAGGGAAGCCAGAAGAAGTTCGGAAAAACCTTCCAATAAAAGTCGAAAACCTATGGCTTATGGACACAGAATTTCTATTCCAGAAGAAGACGGAAGAAACTTCCTGGAGACGCTGGCAGACACTTCCTAAGGTAGATTGCAAGAAAGTTCTGGAGAAATTCGGAAGCCAGAGCGCATACAGAACAGTCGATAGAAACTAGGTCATAATTCCGGAAGAAAGAGATTTCTGGGGGACGTTTAGCCTTTAGCTAAAAATCTCTAAAATAAAGAATAAAAAAAAAAATCTGGGGGATGTTCTAATAATCCAGCAAATTTCCCTGATATTCATAAAACAGTTTACGGAACATGCCTGAAATGCACTTAGAAATATTTCATAATTCCACGCAATTCCTTACAAGTTCTTGTAATTTTCTTGAAGTTAATGGGGCTGTTTTAGAGTTCCCTGATCATCCTCCAAGTACTCGGAACTTCCCTGATTATAATGAGACTACCTGAATATCTACAATCATCTTTGAAGGTATCTGGACTTTCTTGAAGATTACGAAATTTCTTAAGTACTCTCACATTTTTCTTGAATTTATTGTATCATTGAAGATCTCTGATCTTCCCTATTTTTAAAATTTTAAGGGGGTATTCCCAATCTTTTGCCTTTTTTCGGCCTGTTTTTCAATTATTTTTTTTCAAGGAAAATGAATAGTAATGCGCCTAACTCTTTGGAATTCTTGTTTATTGAACATTAAAGTTTACAAATAAATTTTTTTCGGCATAAAAAAAGACATTATTGACGTCACAAAATGGCGGCAAACAGACCCCTGTTCGCCGCAAACGCCTGGACGGGCGAAGACTTTTCTCTGGAACGGCTTCATCTGAAACAGCAGCAAAAAATATTGCAAATTAACAAAATGGCGGCCATATGAAAAAACAGGCGATTTTTAGCCCGCTTTTTCGCAGCTTTAAGGTGCTTCAAACAATGTTAAATGTTAATATTTTTGGCTGAAAGTGGGAGAAGCTCCAAAGAATTTAATAAGGAACAAAATGCGCAAAGATTCAAGTCAATATCTCTTATAGTTTCTGAGAAAAATCTTCGCCCGATAAAAAAATGTGGTTTCGAGAAAAACGCGTTTAAAGTTTTGACTTTAGTTAAAACCATTTGGGGGTTCTTACCATTAGTCAGCTATGCCTGGACACCGAATTCGCTGATCGGAAAACGGCTTGGGGGGATGAAAGTATATAGTCTAAAGTACAAAAAAACGTGAAAAAAAAAAAATTGATTTTTTGAAAAAAAAAAGATCGGGAATACCCCCTTAACTCTTGGCACTGCCATTGAAAAGCACGGAATTTCCCCTTAAAATGTTCTCACCATATTCTAATGTTCATGTAACTTCCCTTACGTTTTCTAAATTTGTGGAACATTGCCTGACTTTCTCGGAAATCCTTTAAATGTCAGCATTTCCTTGTAATTAATTGATCAGTCATGATGTTCACGGAGCTCCCCTAAAGTTCTCTCTTTTCTCTGAAACAAATGAAACTTTCCTGAAAACCATTAAATTTCCCTGAAGTTCTTTGAACTTGTGAAGTTCCCAAAATATTTCTGATGTTTTCGTAAGTTTACTGGAGTTCACTGGACTGTCCTGAAATTTTCGGGTTTTGGAATTCGAACAGAAGTTAATGAAACTATCTTTAATTTATCGGAACTTACTCAAAAGTCTAGACTAAAGTTTCAGAACTTCTTAAAAGATCCTGTAGCTAGTGTGAAGCCGCAATAAAAATCTGGAAACATCCCAGAAGTTCAGGGGAAGTTGAAAAAAAAACTGGTGGGAGAAGACGGAATCGCTTGAAGGCTGAAGAAGCTTCCAAGGGAAGTTGAAATAAGTTTTCGGGAGGAGTCGAAAAATAAGTTATGGTGTAAGGGGGAAGAAAATTCAGGAAGTAATTTTTTTCTTAGTTTTAAAAATTCAATTTAAAAAAAATCGATATAAATCGGTATACAATTTCCAAAATCGGTATTCTGATGAATCTTATCTGTATTGGCGTTGACGGCACCGTCGAAAAATTTGCTCTTGCAGCAAATTTAGACAGTTTCTTATGAGAATTTTCGGTGGAGTGAAAGGATAGTACAAAGTCCGCCATGTTTCACGCACAGTCTGACGTTTGCTTATGGATTTTCTCATAGGAGTAAAGAGCTACACAGAAACAAAATCCATTGGTAAAAATACTATATTGATGGTTTAAATTAAATACTCCCACCAATAGATTTGTGCAGAAACGAAATTCATTTAATTTTACTAATTTTTCTATCAAAACTACTATACCGTTTGAGTAAGCATAGTAGTTTTGACAGAATGGTAGTAAATTTGATTATATTTATAGTCAACTATACTGAAATCATGGTAGATTTAACGGTATTAAGCGTAGTTATACTGAAAATAAGTGTTTTCTGCAAAATAGTATTCCTAACTATTATCTTTGTTTCAGTGTACAGAGTCGCCGTCAACGCCAATATCGGTATCTAGTTCGGAAATCGGTATAAATACCGATAAATCGGTATATCTGACAACGCTGCTGGAGGGTCACATTTCGGATCAGAATAAAACTGGAAAAGGCTCTTTGAATTTTTCAACTTTCATTGTCCTATCGTGGTGTGTGTGTGTGTTTGTGATGTGTATGCAACGTTTGGAATAAAATTCATTGCATTTTCGACAACACTGTTCTGCAGTTAGCGCGCTCTATTTTTCTACTGTCCTTTCCTCTATTGCTGATGCGATTTTTCAACATTTATTATAGTATACGTTCATTCCCAGCGCTTGTTCTATTTAGGTGAAAGGTTTGCTGCACTCTTTTCTTTTTTTTTGCATTTGCTGGATTAAGTTTTGATTATTTGAAACGTTGAATCAAACTTTTGGAAATTGATTAATTTAGTTAAGGTGAATTTTTTGACATTTATTTATTTTCCTGGTGTTTCTCTGTCTTTTCCTAAATTAGGCACTACTCGAGCTGTTCTGATTGATAAACTTAATGTGCATCAGTTTTGTCTTTAAGTAAACTAGGTAAACTTTAGATTTGGAACATAAAATTGCATTCTTAGCTACCTACAGATTATTCATTTGGTATCTTAAATAGGGAAATAATGGAATCTGTAAATGATGAGCGCGGGTCTAATTACTTGTGTATCGTCAAGTATCTTTCCTATTAAATAATTTAATTGATGCGGCTATAGAGTCAAAAACATGCCTGTGAGGTTTTTTTTATATGAAAGCTAATGTTTCATCATGGACGAATCCGGTTGCCATCTATCGAGATGTATTTAAAGCAATATATTGTTAGGAAAACAGAAATTTGCTATTTTCATTCACTTTGCGAAATGTATACTACACTGTTTGTGATTTTTTGATCTATTCGTATAAATTCTATGAAAGCTTGCTCATCCAACAACTGTTTAATTCGCTATAATACTTTCGTTGAGGCGTTGATAGGCGATTCAGCAATAGGACCCCGAAAATCGATAGAACCATGAACCAATTCTAAAACGTATATCGCATAAAATAGTATTAGAAAGCAAAACGTATTTTAAAAACCATCGAATCTAGTTTACGTCAGATGACTCGTTTGGTGGAATGCTGAATAAATATTAAAAAGGAACTCATTTAAAATACCGTTCTAGACGTAGAGCAACAAAAGTCTGTAACAATCACAATTTTTTGTCCTAAAAATACGCATCTCGTGAAATTTGCTGCCTTTATCTTTTCTGTTTCTTTTATTTGTCTACTACAACACTCGATTGCAAGTAAATTAGCTGTCTATTATTAGTATTGTGTGGTTTTCTTTGTTTTTGAATGTAATCAATGTGTAATTGATAATTGGTTTGCTTGCAACATTTAAAATTTTATATCTAGTCATAACAATAGTCACATTTTGCATAATATTTATCATCATTTCACTTGTAAGCTCGCGCCTTGTCGATGTTGGATTTTTCCGTTGCCGAGAATCCGAGGATGCTCTCGATCGCATTCAGATGTCCTTGGGAGTTCTCCTTGTCCGTGAGAAAGTAGTAGATGGCGCTCTTGAGGAACTGCAGCGTAACTTCCGGGTCGACCTTGTTCTTCGTTTGCTGGGCATCTATCAGCCGCTTGTACATGGTCTAAAAAAAGCAGACAAATTAACGGTTTAGTGTTAAGGGGAAATTTGTCACCAAAATGTTTAATTCTACAATGCAAAGCGATAGAGAAGTGCAGAAAGAAGGTTAAACAAACAAAAGGGTGCACTTACAGAAAGAGCAGAAAAAGGAAGACGGTTTAAAATTTGAAACCATAAAAGTCAGAAAACTTTTCATGAGGCTGTTTACAGTTAGGAAAACCTAAGAGGAAAACCGTGTTTGCCATGCCAGCTAGAGGGTATATGCAGCTCATTTATACGGAAAGTCGCGTCATTTTCGAATTCGTCGGTTAAAACACAAAAACAAAGCTAACGACATGCATGTTCTAACGAACGGGTTATTTGACAGTGAAACGATCTAGAAAAAGAATACAAAAATCAGATCATATTTTTTTTTCGATGACTAATTGATTTTCTATAAAAAATTTTGGTGATAAGCTTTGTCTTTGGCTAAAACTGCTGACTACAAACCTTCCGGGCGCCCAAAAGCCACAGCGATATTGCTTCTTTTGCGCTCAGTAAAACCTGTGAGGTTCCGCTTTCTGGCTGATAGTTTGTATCCTGTAAGGGAGAAGTAATTCGGAATCGGTGGGAAAGGGTTGTAGAGTTAGAAAAAAATTTTATCAAGAGTTAGAATGTGAATTGCTTTTGATGGCCAGGTCGAAATAGGTGGATAGATGGGAAGGAAGGAAGAAAGGGGGGAAGAGTGGTTGGAGTAGCCCTGATCTGCTTCTGGACAGTCTTCTACCGTTTTCCGTCTCGTCTCAGTGGATTATGAAACACGGCTTTACTATTTCGCTGCTACTCAAATGGATTATCCTTTATTTTAAGATTTCAATTGGCAAATCAAAGTTGGCACTCGTGGAGAATAGACGAACTATGAAAGTGATGATGGTTTCAAAATTTTCCACTGGGAGGTATACGAGTGCAATCTTAAAATGCTTTTATTTTGAAAATGGAGCATTTTATTTAAATCTGGTTAGTGCTACGTTAGTAGAAAACTGGAGTACTACTCAATAGACATATAATATAAAAATAATAATTTCTTTTCAGATTTGTAGGTGTATACATAGATTTCAGCTTTTCTACAACTGTAGCAGCAACCAGATTTAAATAAAATGCTCCATTTGCAAAATAAAAGCATTTTAACATTGCACTCGTATACCTCCCAGTGGAAAATTTTGAAACCATCATCACTTTCATAGTTCTTCTATTCTCCACGAGTGCTAACTTTGATTTGCCAATTGACTATACCGCATTGTCCGCTCCGCTACCAGAAAAAAAAACACGACAGTCGAGAAGAAGATAGTAAGTGTTGAATAGAGGGATTCCCATTATATTGTTAACAAAATGTATGAAAGTTCATAAGTAAGAATCGTAATATTTACAAATATTTCATTGATTGCGTTATGATTGTCGGGCTCCACATCCGGATGCGTTTCTACTATAGACACTCCTCCTCCCTTTTTATGGCACAGACCTGTTGGTCCATATTAACTATAGGCACTCATACTAATAGACCTGTCAATGTGAGCTGACGAATCCAAACCACTATCGGAAAGGGGATAATTTCCCCTACCCAGTGATGTTGATGGCTTGCATGGGCGTACTTCAGTTCGCGTGTAAAAGACCTTACAACTTTTGCCGTTTTCAAATGTTATGATCGATTCTCTTCGTCGATTTTCTCTTGAATTAACGTTCCTCGGTGCGTTTGCTGTTGCTTTTGATAGCCAATACAACTTGTTACAACTCTGCATTGAACAAATCCTAGCAAATTGTTTCGCTTAGCTGTAGCAATGCAAAGAGAAAATCGATAAAGAGACTCGATCATTGCGTATACGCCCTTATGCATGCTCACTGACGAAATGTTCGTTTTGGATACAATATGGTGGCACATTGGCAGCAGTATTACGAACAATCAATACGAAACAAACGATTTTAAATTGGTTCACTACTTGACTAGCCTATTGGTCCCAAGTAAATCGACTAACGTACCCCATTCTAGTATAAATTACAGTACTACACTATCTTTGTTTTGATTCGCTATGAAAGTTTGACAGATAAAATGAGGGGTTAGTGAATTTTCCTATGTTTCGAGGAGTGAATCGATTAGCTTGGGGCCGAAGATAGTACCAGAGCTGAGCCAAAAAGTTGAGCTCGTTTCTTCGGGACCTTCTGGTCTTAGAGTCACCTCTTGCTATTACTACGAGCATCTACACGGAGAAAAAAAAATACTACCCACTATTTACTTTTACTTTTATTTTGAGATCAGCCTCTCACTTGCAGGGATGTGATGTGGCAGTCAAATACATACGACCAAACGTCGCCTACTTCGTATAACTGGTTTCAAACGTAAACAAGCCATAAGAAACCTACATGGTTTGTCTACTTTTGGAACCAATTTCATACAAGAATGATCAGTAGCCTGATTTGACAGCACGTCCCCCTCCAACTCAGTTGCACCAAAGATGAATACTAAGATGAAACTGTCGGGAGAAAAACTTTTTATTTTAGTGTCCTCTTTTACGGTCCCTTTCATCCAATGAATACTCCCCGTATTCAACGTAATTTTGTGGTTTTGTTGCCCCCTCAGTAGAGATGAAATTTTGCGCTCATTTTTATCAAAACAATCACACCAAAATCAAAGATGTCCCATTTTTTAATTACTCGATGAACAACCAATCGATTATTTTTTGTTCGCTGTGCTGTCATTTTTCCACCAATGAGAGTGCAGCACATAATTAAAACGATCGATGATGATCCTCTGGAGATGTTAATGCTTATATCGGCATGATATAACCGATTACAAATATTTTACTTTTCGGTTCGTTAATCGATTAATCGATTATTCGAATGAAAATTGGCGATCACTAGATGAATGTGAAACGTCATTTCAAATATAAGGACCGTACATAAATAATGATACAATTTGAAAGGGACCGGGGCTAATCGCAAATTACGTCCCCACGGTAACTGAAATAAATACGAGTGTTCACCGGTTGGTTGCACTCGTTATTGTTGTCAAAACAGGAACGAGAGATTCGACCCAACGATATAGCGATATAGTTCAGCCCAATAAGTTACTTTTGAGTAAATTGCATATTCTCAAATTTACATGAATTTTGGGTAGAATATACTTAAGAGAGTATTTTTTGCTGGAGTTCAATGGAAACTAATATATGCGATTTACTCAAGTTTGGGTTATTGGGCTGAACCCGGGAATTGAGGGAAAATCACTTAATTTTGGGTAGTTTTTCATCTCCGTGTATAGCTTCTACTCCGGATTGTTAGCACTGGCAGCTCCTGCGGGAAAAACAGGGGGCACATCCCTGTTGTAATTAGTCAAGACCTAGGGGCTGCTAAGCCAGCATTTTTCTGTTGTTTGCTATTTTTCACCAACACCTTTACAACCAACGCAAAACAAACACATGCGGTGTACACGGCAGCTGTAAAATATGCAATACAGCCGCAAAGTTCGTATGTGTTGCTCAAGTTTATTATGGGCCATAAATTTATCGACCAGCTAAGAGTGTACTGTCAAATTTGTGAAATCCCATAGTGGAAACATTTGATGTCAGTCCCGTGGTCAAGACGCTATCCACTAACTACACTGAACCAAAACATCCGCAATACTTCGAATGATTATTGCATTGCTAGAGCCCTTTAACAACATGCATTCGAATTTCGGATGATTTTCTTATGGTTGAATTCGTCGTCAGATGATGAACATCCATATGACTGTCATCCAAATACAGGATGATTTTCGTTTGAAAATTAGCTATACAACATATGGCACTCAGAGGACAAACATTTTAGAATAGTGTGACATGCAAGTGCTTTAAATTAGATTTATAATTTGATTATCTACATTTCCATGCTGAAAAGCCTTAATAAGCCATTCCATTATGGATACAAAATTTTTTCGTGATGGAGAAAACCTCCTCCACCACGAACTAGCCAAACATTGGTTTTCATGCTTTACCTATGTTCGTAACAGCTCTGATAGCGATGCATATGCTTCCACCTCGTTTGTCAGCTCAGATCAGCAAATTACGTTCGATAGAATTATTTACATCATCGTTTTGAATGATTCGCGTTATGGGGCTGAACCAATACCATATGCATTTCCATTTAGTATGACAGTCATTCTACAGAGAGCATTACGCATTTCAACTGAAGGCCCTATCCCTTCTCATAACAATTTTCATCCTGTATTCGAGAGGAAAATCATCTGATTCCAAAACAACCGTCATTCGGTTGCAGCCATCATTGGAAAAAGCGATTTCGGTGTTTTGTTTTGAATGGTCTGAGGTTTCATTCGATCAGAGGATGATGTTTGTGTACAGTGTACAAGGTTGATAATCATGGTTTATAAAGTTTGCCAACCTTGAAGTGAATGTATCTTGACTAATCAAGATGCACGGAACCGAAAAATTACCCAAAATTAAGTTCTTTTCACTCATTTCCCATGTTCCGTTTAATAGACTTCTCTGACGTTTGTGAAATGCACAAGTATTAGTGCAGAACTCGGGGTAAATTATAAGTATGAGTGCAAGAAAACCTTTGAAATTACTCCGAGTTCTGCACTAATACTTGTGTATTTCACAAACGTCAGTTGGGTAGGTTCAGTTTTGACCGATCTGGGTGGATTCTACCCAAATGTGGGTAGTTTTGAAATAACGTGTAGAGATTTTGTCGCTTACCAGTAATGGGTTGTTCATAAACGACGTAGATCGTTTTTGAGAGGTTTTAGACCAGACACTTATGAAAGCTTCACACCAAAATCTTGAACATTTTTGGTCAATTACTATGCGCTCACATGAGCAAAATTGGGCTGCAAAAGTACAACATGAGAAATATTCTGTCAACAACCAGATTCCATCTTCTTCGTCTTCTTCGTCGTCTTCTTCGTCGTCTTCTTCGTCGTCTTTTCTTCTTCTTCTTCGCAATTCTAGCTTATCCCTTATCAAATTGCCTGCATGATCCTCCTTATTCTGCGGCACGAGTGAGCTGAGGTTACAATTTTTAAAATGTGGCTACTTTATCGGTCAATCCAGATTATCTGAAGAACCAGGATATAGACACTTTACACAAAAATTTAAATTCTTTACTAAATTCGCTTTGATCTCATGATTCTGAAAAAAAAAAAACATAGAAAAAATCGCAAGGTTCTAGGATAATTTTTATAATGTGGCCTCTTTATCGGTCAATCCAGATTATCCGGAGAACAAAAATATGGCCACTATACCCCAAAATATAGTTTCCATATTAAAAACGCTTTGATCTCTTGATTCTGAACAACATGGAAAAAATCACAAGGTTCTAGGACATTATTTATATTGTGGCCACTTTATCGGTCGTTCCGGATCATCCTTTAGGCCAGTAGAGTTTCCTTGAGGGCGTTTATGGTGTCTTTACACCATCTATACTTAGTACTATCAATTTCCAGTAATATACGTTAAGTAAAGTGTAAAATTATGTAAATAGATAGTGGCATTTCCTACTTTACCGGGAACTTGGGTTGATCCCGGCCCTCTATCTCGGTACACAAAAGTTTCCGCCCAATGAGACCACCACCAATCGATTTAGCAGCTATCAGCAATTTTCCTTTGAGAATATGTATAACATGTTGACTGAAACCGTTTGGCAGCCGAGATATTCAATTTAGTCGCGGGTTTGTTAATTTTTGCCCACTGTGCAATGGATGGAAAGAAGTTCCGGAAGTACCAGAAAAGTCCAATGACCTCCAAGGAAGTTAAGAAATTTCAAACTTCGAGAACTTCAAAGGAGTCCAGAGAATACCAGTAAAACTTCGGGAACTTCACAGATGTCTAGAAAACTTAAGCGAAAACCCTTGAACTTCAGGGAAACTCCGAGAAATTTATGAATATCAGGAAAATGCAGTAGTATTAAAAATGAATCCTTCAGCTTCATGGATGATCGTTAAGGTTACTTAAATTTCAGAAAAATTGTGGAAAATGATGAAAAGTTCCCAAATTTTCAAGTAGTTTAGAGAATTTCAGAAATGTTAAGAAAACTTCAGAAATGTGTTGAGAACTCCTCTTGTTCAGGATTTTCAATGAAGCTAAGAGATTCTCAGGAAGGTTCAATTATGTTCAGAGTAGTACTGCCGCTCATGGCAGGCCCGTCCCATAGCACAAATCAGCAAGCCGATAAAAACGCGTTTCAAGTTTGCTTCGCTCCATTGCTTCTCATGTAAGTGGGACAACCCGTTCTGCTGTTTTTCCAAACTTTTCCTGAACAAAGTTGTTGAGTTCATCCAGCATATAAAAATATGGGTTATGAGCTACCATTTCCATTGCAAATCTCAGTTTTGACAAAAAACGCAAATGGGACCGACTTGCGATGACCGGCAGAGTACCCAGAGCGTCAGGAGGATTTAAAGAGCTTTAGGTAAGTTTCAAGAACCATACCCAAGTAACCAACAAGCCCGCTTATTCACCTTTTTGCAATATAAGGCTAATATGCGGCTAATATAAACTTCAAAAACTTCAGGGAAAATCAGAGAACCTCAGAGGCAATTCATTTACTTCAGGGAAATAACAGAAATTTTAACTTCTGGAAAATCGTTAAACTATAGGAACTTCCAAGAATTACAGAAAAAAAAAATTAATACCTAAGTGAAGTCCAGAGAAGTTCAGAGAAGTTTAAACACCGTGAGGATCAGAGTAATTCCGAAATTTTCGAAAGAACTTCATGGCAGTTCCATTAGCTTCAGGAAAATTGTGAGATGTTTTTGAACTTCCAAGGGCTACAGAAATGTACAATAAACTTTAGGGGAGTTCAGATAATGTTGGGAAACTCCAGATAATATCGAGGAAGTCCAGAGTAATTCACGAAAGTTTAGATATTTTTAGTGATGTTGCGTGAACTTCAGAGTAGTTCCAAGATCATCAGGAAATTTTCGAGATCTTCAGGGCTGTTCAATAAACATATTGATAACTGCAGGAACTCTATGACCTTTGCCTTACTTTTAAGATCTGACTGTAGCAAATTACAGTTACGTTTCAAGGTACCCTATCTACATATATCGGTATTCATATTTTCGTTTAAATTAATGGCTTCTATTGCCTGTTCCTCTATAACGTAGCGAAGAGTTAAGTTACTATCTTAGATTCTTACTGGTGAACAAGAACAGCGAAACAATCATGACGGAATAGAGCAGAGATTAGGGGCTTAGCTTATCAAGGAGAGAGTCTGGGCTCAACTCTCATTGGAAAAATTTGTTGCGTCTCAGATATCGATAGCTAACAAAAATGAGTTCATGGCTTTTTATGAATGACGCTCTTCCCTGTTAGTATTTTTAAGTTTTATGGCGAATTAATTCCCAGTGTCAATTGGGTTCTTTAATTTTGAAAAATATATCGGTTTTTATATATCATCTGAAAAAGATCCATTTTCTGAGCACAGCGATATTTTTTTCGAACCCACACACTATCATCTCGATTTTTAAATCAAGATTTAAAGCAAAATAATAACTTCACTGTTTGACACTAAACTGACAAACTGACAGCTCGCTCCCATACAAAGCGACACCGAGGGGCGCTAATAAGGTGATTTTTGCAAATGTAATCGTTCTTATTTAAAATAGTTCCATTTTACCAAAATTGATGAAATTTTGGGTTTGGATTCCATTTTTAATGCAGATAACGAATATGCATTTACCTCAATACCCTTAAAGAATCCAATTAGAGGGAACAAAATTGCGTGTACATGCAGTTATAACCGATGGAAACTAACGATTTGAAATTAGCTCACTACTTGACTAGCCTATTGGTCCCAAGCAAATCAATTAACGTACCACATTCTAGTCGAAATTCTAGTACTACACTATGTCTATTTTGATTCACTATGGAAGTTTGACAGATAAAATTAGGGGTTTGTGAATTTTCCTATGTTTCGAGGGGTGCATCGATTAGCTTGGGACCGAAGATAGTACCAGAGCTGAGCCAAAAAGTTGAGCACGTTTCTTCGGGACCTTCTGGTCTTAGAGTTAACTCTATGATTATACATTCCTATATTACAGGGTGATTCAGCATAACTGTCACCGATCTCACAAATATGCAATTCTCAATGGGTAAAATGGGTATATGTTCAAATATTTTTGTTTTAAAGTGAGTACAAATATTAGCTTGTATTGATAGTAGAATTTGAAATTTCATTCAATTGCGATTTCAAGCAGCCATGGACTTGAAACTGGAGCATGTCATACATCTGTATAAATTCGTGTGTTATCTTTTAGAAACCGAAATCTCTTCTCCTCTGTCAACCTCTTCGAGGATTAGTCAACATTAAACTATACAAACTGGGTTTTCAATGCTGAAATGGCCTTGATATCTCCAAATTTAACTGAAAACACTAAAATAGTCCTGAAATTAAATAGATCAGCTTTAAAAACGCCAACAAGATTAACACATTAATTGAAAAAAATGGCATTGAAATTCATAAATGATATAAGACATTTAAATAAGTGTATACAATTATTGACGCTTTTAACTTATTTGCATTGTCAAATCCACCTGTGCAAAATGAGAATTTTCAAAAAAAGACATTTCATTCAATATCTCAAAATGCCACTGCATATCATGGGATATTTTTACATCAAAATATAGCTTTTTGGATGATAAATCGAATGCTTAGGTGGTTGTTCACGGCACGAATCATTTTTGGGTAGTTTGGGGCGATAATAAGCATTTTAACCCTATCATTTAGGGTTTAAAATTGTATTAGGGTCGATTACTATGTGAAATGTAAATCGATTTTTACAAAACCAGTTTCATTTAAAAGCTTAGATTGTTAGCAACAGCAAATGCACAGAAAAATGTCAATCCAGCTGAGTTATTAACAAATGCGAAAATATATGAAGAGAATCGAAAATTGCAGTTAGGTTCTTATGATACTGAAAATTAGAAGTATTCTGTATCTCTGATGGCCTCGGCAATACCTATTATCGTCAGGGGGTAAATGAAGTCCTTGAGCGTTCATTTTTGGCATGAGGATACATCGTGTTTTAGAGCATTGTTTTGCCAAAATTAAGCTCTCAAGGACCCTGACGATAATGAGTAAAGGTGTTCCCATAAATAAATTTAAAAGCTTATATCGCTAAAACAAGTTTTTTTTTAGAAAGCTCCATATCATAAAAATACACGTCCAGCAATTTAAAAGCCCCATCCATTTCACTTGCTCTCATCGATCCAAACAGACCGACAAGTGCCTGGAGTGTTGCGGCATAGAAATTGGCGCCACATAAACAGAAAACATCAAGTCCGAAGCTGGTGATGCACACAATTTTCTTACGATCAAAACAAAGCTCTAGCTGGAAAATAGATGTACAGTGGAAAGATGAGAAAGCAAAGAAAACACACCCTTTAACACGGTGCGTACGCTATTTACCCCCTCTTGCACAATGAACATAGAAATAATGATATACACACTGACTCTGACTGATGGTGGCCGAAATACGATACGGAGACCACATATGGCGCCTCTCGAATCACACTTGGGAGGGAGCTAAGCAGCGCGGCTGGGTGGGTGGCAGTGTAACTAATTGGCAAATTTCTTCATTACACGAGCACGAGCGAAAACGGCGGGACGCTTATACAGACATTTTGTTGGAAACAGATAAGAGTATCGGAAAGTAGACAGAGACTTAGCTCGATCAGACTAAAGCGTAAGAAAATGTTGGATAACCGTGGTCATGTGTGTGGTCACAGCATTCGATTTCTTCGTTCGGACTGATCGAGTGTGGCAGATTAACCAACTGCTAGGGGAGATCGAGTTCCACCAAAGCTCCCCGGAGGGGAGGTAACCAAACTTACCCGTATGTTCTCCAATTCCTCCTGGGTGACCTGAAGTTGCTGCATCAGTTCCGGTACCGAGACTCGACTGGGCGACTGGCGTGCCAAATCAATAACGCGATCGGCGTGCTGCTGCCGTTCCGCTTCCTGTCCTTTGGCGTACATGTGCAGATACATCTTGTTGGCTTTGCCTTCCTGCTCTTGCAGCTGCGTGTGGAGCTCTTCCAGTTGCTTCTCAAGCTCCCGGATTCGCTCTTTGGCCTGAAAGGTTTAATGGTATTTTAATGGTGTTCTAAAGATAATGGGTGGCATAGGTACTCACCTGCTCGTAGTCTGGAACCAGATCACAGTATCTGCTGTTCGACTCGGACAATTTCTGCAGCAAAGCCTCAACGCGATCATTGTTGGACATGCGATTCTGCTGTTCGTCTGCCTGTTGCTGTTTAACCAGCTCCTCAATGCGAGCTTCGTACATCTCGATAAGCCGCTGCTTCTCGGCATCGATGTCATCGTCGCTTCCGCAAGCACGATCCTGCGTGTGTACGTACGAATCCTTGGAGTGAATCGACGAGGTCGTAATGTCCTCGAAATGTCCCGAATCGGCAAACGAGCTTTGCATCTCCGAGGTGGACATCTTGTCCATGAACTGCACCTGGTGGATGCCATGATTGTGCAGATGATGCCGGGGACTGGCTTTGCTACACTCATCCGTTTGATCCACAATCGGTGAAATGCCCTGAGAGCTGGGCGTGTTTGCATCATTGGTGGTGTTCTCCCGCACCGTTACGGCGTCACTGGAGTTTGAACGTTCCTCCGGGGAACTGAGCGATGCCTTGAAGAGCCGCAGCTCAACAACCTCTTTGGTAAGTCTTAGAATTTCAGTATCACGCTGCTCCAGGTCTATGCGAGCCTGCGAGAGCAGCTCCTTCAGTCGTCTGATCTGGCGCTGAGCCCGCTGGGTCGGGGTAAGGTAGTCCTCACCCGTCTGTCCGGCATGACTCGAGCAATGTACTACGTATTTCATCTTACGGCCACTGAACGTGGTGCCATTGCGGGCCACGTACGGATGGTCGCACGACATTCCACTCGCCACTGAGCTGTAGCTGCGCAGGGAATCCAAATCGTCATCCAAATAGCTAGTGGCCGGCGATTCCGGTGAAACCGGCGGCGTCTTCGGGCTAAGGCTGCTCTTGTGCAGTCCGTGACCGTGTCCCGGCGTGGAAGCCGACTCGCAAGGGGTGTGCGGTCTGCGGGGTGATCGCTGGGCGCTACTATTACAACTGGCGCTGTGCCCAGAGTTGATTAGATTCAAAGACTGGTTGGAATAGAGAGAAGGGGATTTATTAGTTTAGGATGGTTGTGAATTTTGCTGATTGTAAGTGTTTCCAGGTGTCTTTTCTACGGCAAATGTATCACATTCGGATGGAAGCATACGTCTTAATGGTCCGGTACATGTTTTTTCAAAATAACTTTTATCTCCAATGTTTTCGAGAAGTGTCAGAAGTGACTTCCTCAGTAAATCTTCTAAAGATTTGTCTTGATATATTAAATAAAGTCCTTCCTCATAAACTTTCACATTTTGTTTGATTTCCACCTTATTTTCAGATTCTTCGGTCGTGCACGTGGGCATGCCTAACGTCAAATATCAGACTTAAAGTGGACATTTTAAACGATATATGAGGAGATGAAAGTATAGAATGGATAGATCCGTTATAGCAACAATCAATACGAAACTAACGATTTTAAATTGGCTCACTACTTGACTAGCCTATTGGTCCCAAGCAAATCGACTAACGTACCCCATTATAGTATAAATTCCAGTACTACACTATGTTTGTTTTGATTCGCTATGAAAGTTTGACAGATAAAATGAGGGGTTCGTGGATTTCCCTATGTTTCGAGGGGTGAATCGATTAGCTTGGGACCCAAGATAGTACCAGAGCTGAGCCAAAAAGTTGAGCTCGTTTCTTCAGGACCTTCTGGTCTTAGAGTTACCTCGATGGTTATAGCATAGAGGTAACTCTAAGACCACTGGGTCCCGAAGAAAATCATTATTATTTTTGGCTCACTCAGTACCAGAACAACGGTCCCAAGCAGTCCCAAGCTATTTCACTCACCCCTGCATGTTCTGCATGAATCCACACACCCCTGATGTTATCTGTCAAACTTTCATAGCGAATCAAAACAAACATAGTGTAGTAATAGAATTTCAACTAGAATAGGGTACGTTAATCGTTTGCTTGAGACCAATAGGCTACTAAAGTGGTGAGCCAATTTAAAATCGTTAGTTTCGTATTGATTGTTGGTTATAGTACGACAGTGTGCAAATTGTGATGAGCATGAGCTTGAGCATTGACATTGACATTTCAGTAGTTGCTGCTCCGTGATTGATCAGATTCAGCGAAATTTGCACAAAGAACCATATGAATGGGGCTTAGAATTAGCAATCCATTCTCAGTGTGCAAAATCCGGTGAATCCTTATTGTTGAGGTCAATAGCTTGGTAATAGCAACAGCTTGGAGCTTGGGTTTTAACCCACGATCTTCTGCTCAGTAAGCAAAACTGGTCGCTCTAAGGCCACCGTGCCCCTTACATCACAACCAGCTATGACTGACGATCGTTCGTTATCGGTTACAAGAAGCTATTAAAATGAAATGACATCCCGAAAGCAGTTAACAATGTCTTCCGAACTGGATCAAGCATACGTCACTTTTGTACAAACATATGTATTACTTATTACGACAGTGTGAAAATTGTTTATAGAAAGTAGAAAGTGAGCAAAGGGCTATTTTGAGGAAGGTACCAATCGGATTGAGCATACTCTCTACCAAACTCATCCGTTGATAAACGGCGGTAAGGGATGTTTCCCTCGCTACCACGCTACCGAAGAACACCTCAAAGTGGCAGGTAAATCTCCGTTTTTCTCAGCTGCTACCAGTTCCTGCAGCTGGTGAAATCTGAGTCAGACGATTTTTTTTTTTTTTTTTCCTTTGGTTTGTTTTTTCCGTCGATCTTGTTCTCCGTGCTGAGCACCAATGCTACCGACGTGCCAGGAATGCAGCTCCCACACCTGGACCCTACCTATCGACCCATCAACTCATGAACCGGGGACCAACGGCTTTACTTCCCATCCGAAGGAAGGCGTGATCAGAGATGTTATGCCTCAGAACATCCCGGCGGCGCCGACTGGGATTGAACCCAGGCCTGCTGGGGAGAGAGGTAATCACGCTTACCACTACACCACCGGCGCCGTCAGTCAGACGATTTTATCAGGTATGTTGAACAGGGAGTTTGCTATGCAAACATCCCAATAGGACTTCATTCTCGCATCGAGGGTGAAACAGCAGAAGCACCGGACAATTTCAAGCGACTCATCAATCTGAAGTCGGACACCACGTTGGTGAAAAATTCGATCTACAGCGTCTCGGATAAGAAACCCGGAAGTCAGCCACGTCCAACGAAGGCGGAAGACAAGTCAACCTCTCGACTGACAGCTTGGTCAGATACACTACGATCAACCGGTACCTCACTACTTGACTAGCCTATTGGTCCCAAGCAAATCGATTAATGTACCCCATTCTAGTCAACATTCTAGTACTACACTAGGTTTGTTTTGATTCGCTATGAAAGTTTGACAGATAAAATGAAGGGTTAGTGGATTTTCCTATGTTTCGAGGGGTGCATCGATTAGCTTGGGACCGAAGAGAGTATCAGAGCTGAGCCAAAAAGTTGAGCACGTTTCTTAGGGGCCTTCTGGTCTTAGAGTTACCTCTATGCTATAATCGTGATTGCACATTCTGTGATCGCCCCTGCAAATCATGTAATCGCATTGGACACAATGAAGGCAACTGTGCTTGCTCCAAGATGACTTCAAGCAACATCTCAAGAAAAGAAGCAGATGAAGAAACCTGTTACCAGAACTCTAGCCAAGGAAAATTTCGTGGTGTTTCACATTGTAAGCATCACTAGAAACCAAAAGTACGTGACCTGCATTATCAACGGAGTCGTTGTTATTTACTCTTCTTCTGGATTCACCAAGCGAACAACTGGGATGACCGAAGCCAACTCCATCATCGAAGCAATGCGTCAAATGTCCAATGTGAAGTCCCCATCCTCGATGAATTTAAGCGTGGCTCTGTTTCGTGACGTCATCAGCTCAAAGGGCTGGTTATCGATTGTATTGACAGGTTCAACCTGTGGTCGGTTCCAATCGATTATATCTGCAGTCAAGTCACAGCAGCATCCAAACCATGTTTCGCCGGGAGATCCTGCAACTTCAAGACGACCATCCTGCGGTTTTCAACGACTAGCTAGGGTACTGACAGAACATCAAGATAAAGACTATTCAAAGCGTTCAACAAGATTCCACCAGTGAAAAGTGAGCTTACGCTGGTTGACTTCTTGGAGTGAGCCACATCGATTGTTGCAGTATGCAAGCCAAATGGACGAGGCTGCATTGTGTGGACAATTCGACTGATCTCACCGATGAACCGAAGAGACTTTCAAATCCGACGACTCCGATGCGTACCTGCAGGTCAAGGTGGACAACGAGTCCAGGAAGCTTCTCATCATCAACATGCACCGTGGTATCTTCCGATTCAACCATCTCACTCCGGAAGTGAAATCGGCACCAGCCGGTCGACAGCATGATTGCAGACATCCTCGATGTTCGATTGTTCATTGATGACGCTTCAATCTTGAACCAAATTGGGAGGTATACAAGGTATCGCTAGAGCACCTAGTGAAACGTATACAGGCATATGGGTTCCACAGCGGCGACGGTGGTGTAGTAGTAAGCGAGATTACCTCTTACCCCAGCAGGTCTGGGTTCAATCCCTGTCGGCGCCGCCGGGATGTTCTGAGGCATAACATCTCTGATCACGTATTCCTACGGAAGGGAAGATAGGCCGTTGGTCCCCGGTTCATGAGTTGATGGGTCGATAGGTAGGGTCCAGGTGTGGGAGCTGCCTTCCTGGCACGTCGGTAGCATTGGTGCTCAGCACGGAAAACAAGATCGACGGAAAAAACAAACCAAAGGAAAAAAAAAAAAAAAATGAAGGTAATCTAGTGTGGTCCAAGATATCTCAATCAATTCAAACAAGGTTATGAGCAGCTAGAAAAGGAAGTGCTTCGCTTGCACCTACGGAGTGGCGAAGTTCCACAAGTACCTGCTTAGACATCGGTTTATCCTTCTCACGGACCACAAGCTTCTTCACGCTGGGTCCGAAGTGGCGGATTATTCAACATTCTTGTACCTCGGGTTTTTCTTCTCCAAAAGTTAGTTTGGGTGTTTACACTCCTAAATCAGTTAATTTTAAAATATTCTGTCGGGCAAAATTGTATTGCAGGTTTTAGCTCTTCAGAGTTATCTACTAAACTTTGTTGGAAAATAATGCTATTTTTTATTTATTATTATTATAGTCACTTCAATGCTCTTGGGTCATTCATGACTTATCCAGGGGGAAATTTAAACTCATGATTTTGGCGTGAGAGATATAGATGCTAACCACTACGTCGGGATCGCCCCCATGATAAAATTTAATAATTAAAATTTCCTTCAATAAAGTATTATAAAATCAATCGATTTAGTAATGGAAGCACCCAAACTAACTTTTGGTGAAAAAAATCCCAAGGTACATGAAAGTTGAACAGTCCGCCGCTTTGGACACGGCGTTTCTTATGAAAATATTTGGATCCAAAACTGGCACTGCAACGATAGATGCTGATGCTGCTGAACTACGACTTCAGCATCCGTCAAGTATCCATCAACGAGTTTGGCTGTGCCGGTATGCTGTCTGAAGACTGATCGTTCCATTTGACCAGAAAAAGATAACATCGTAGCAGCAACTTTCCAGGAAGAAAGTGCTCCACCCTAGTTGGCTTCTTCCGGAAACTTTATTGAATGAAATTTGCAATTTGGAAATAATGTCATGCTGCTGCCGAGCTTGAACGATCGTCGGTCGCAGTGGATTGTTGTTATGTAAGGGGCCCGGTGGCGTAGTGGTGACCGTTTTTATTAACTTAACAGAAGATCATGTGTTTTATCACAAGTTTGCATTTATTTATTTATTTATTTATTTATTTATAGAGAGAGATATCGGCTTCCAATAAAGCGAGTATAACGACAGCAATTTTCTTCCAGTTGCCGGCACTACCAGCATTGAAGATGAACGCTACTGCCAAGTGTCATCTATTGGTTCACTGTGAAATTATTGCTGATCTCAGCAATAACGGAGTAGCAACAACGGATGGACAATCAAGGTCATGATCATGCTACACATTTTTATACCTCTTAAAAGCCTAACTAGACTGATG